TAAACATGCAGGGACAAAAACCTTTTGGGATCCGCACTCAAAATCATACAATTCCAAAAACGGCATGGTGAGGTACGTAACTTATCGCGCTATTACACAACCTTATTCGACTATTACACTTTCGCTGCCGTCCGCTTCTCAATAACAACTGCTGTCAGAGATCAAGGACGTCAAGGGTCAGTAATGGCTAAGTACTGCTAAAGAGCATAGTGCCTATCGTTTACCATCTTCAAAATGCTGCCCTGTAACTCGAGCATGAACTGTGGTGACGATTCCCTTCATTGTCTTGCCTGACAGTGTTTCGAGGAACACAAATATTGGGAGGAGCTTAAGCATGCTGTCGAATTTGCCCACGTTAATCCATCCCACCGTTAGATATTAGGTCGTGAAGAAAGTTCTTGCGCTTTTCGACCTTGATTTTCAAATGCCTGTATCTCGGCTCATTCGAAACCTTTTTGATTGGAGTAAAGACTGTTAGAATCCACAAACCTCTGCCAATAGCTGCGTTGAATCAGCCGGTAGTGCAGAATACTGGAGCTCTAGAGACGATGAACCCGGCGGAGGTCGTTTCCGCATCATGTTGATTTTTGAAGCATAATGGAGAAGCGCAGTAGGATGTTGCATGACGAATTCGATAGCCACTTTGGAGAAGCTATCCAGGTAGTCGAGAAAGTGACAAATTATAGGCAAAAGGTCTACCGAGTAGGATGTTCGCAGGACTAATTCGTAGCCAATCTTGTCAACTTCTGCAGGGTTGGTTGTGGAATGTGCGTCCGAGCTACCTGTCAGGGACGAGCCGGTTCCTTTATAATGAGGAATTTCGAGCATATGTGCCAGTTCTAGGAGTAATTTTACACATTATCAGGAGTACTTTTTCCACATTAACAGATCCACCTGGTACGAAAAAGTTAGACCACACCCCAAGGCGGGCGGCGGGGGCCCCCCTAGACCAGCCGCTGACCTTATGAAAGTCACCTCAACCTTCCTTCAGTGAAGTTTCACTTTTGCAAAGTTTGTAGAGCCTGATCGCGGTCGATCACTTCACCAAAGGTTCGCATTCTGTAGCAAAGAATCCGTTCTTTGTCGTACGTCGCAAATGATCAAAAAATCAGGTCGTTTTCCGATGCATGAAACAAGCTAGAAAGCGGCGAACGACCCTTCAAAATGGTGCGTTGTCGCGGCACGCCCTATTTGAATTTTTGGGACTTTCCAGCTCTTCCCGTACAACAAGAAAACACAATGCAAGTGCGATTAGTTTAGGAGGAACCCTCTCAATAGATTTGTGCAAACGTGCTTCAACCAGAACGTTCGACTAATCGTTGGCGTTGTCCAATCTCCGATCACCACCCTCACAATCTTTAGGGCTCTCGCTATTCTTACAAAAGCTTTTTGAACAATTGCTTCAGACCATATTTATTGCGAATCTCAGCCAAGTGCGTCTATAATATCTTGACCTGCTTCCTCTCCATACTGGCCTGCTTTGAGCTAGAAAAAGGAAATCATGCAAATTTGCTCTTGGAAGTATGCCGTACGAGGCCTCATTTCTTTCTATAACGTGATACTCACTTCACCATATGCGTCGTCCTCTAGAAATTTTTGACCATTTCGTGTCGTTATGGACCCATCACTTCTACGGGAGAAGGATGTAGACATCGCGTGGCTTGACGTTCCAATATAGGTGTTGACGCTCGTTGGGCGGGACAATTTCGCCTTGATTAGTCAAAATTTAATGAATTTTCAGCTTTGTTTCGTCAAATCCCATGACGCTCTGGATATTGGGTAATAAATAACAAAAAATTCCTAAACAATAAATGCTCAAAATTTAATTAACATCTTGACTGTCTACCAGCAACCCGTAAAAACCTTGCATCAACTAGTTTGACAAATTCTGATGAAGAGATGTTTTGATTAGATTGAGGTGAATGCGTCGTCCATTCCGTTCCTCCTGCATCATTTTTCCTATTTTCAGTTTTACGTTTTTTCTACACATTTCTCGAGACATCCTCCCCTCCTTCAGAAGTCCTTGATTCGATTAGGAACTGTTTTCAATTTCATGTTGAGCTTGGTATGGTTCTCCGCACTCTGCATTGAAGTGTGGTTTTCTCTGAAATCCTACTCCTTAATTTTCGAATTGCACTTTTGAATCGGCAAAACTGAGGTTTTTGGAAAACCAGCAGATCCCTAGGCTGTGATAGCGAATATTGATAATTAATTTGTCTTGACTGCTGTAGGAAGTGAATTTTTGCCGTTTGTCATAATTTTTCAAACAAGTTCCCTGGGTAGCAGGCACTATCTGTGATATGCTGTAATACATGATAGATGTCATTGACAGGGGCATTATGTCAGGTACAGCGCAAACATTGCATCTGGCACTCCATCATTTCTTTTTTGAAAATACCGAGAGAATGAAATAATGTACATGTCACTGCATCAATATTCACACACAGCCTGCGCATGCGCTCACCACTTGAGTATAAAAGTGTGGAGAATTTGAGAGGACCATTCGAGCGCCATGACCGAGATGAATTTGAAGCGAGTTTTCATTTTCACAGAAGTTCTGGTACAAATCATCCAATCGTTGTCGACGATTCATTTTCATTAATTGATGGCGTTATTTCACCATCCCACTCAATCTTCTGCGAATAGATAAATAGTTTTATAATCGTTCGTAAATCGAAGCCATGCGAAGAGTTTTCTGAACGTATGCTTCTGCATCTCCGGCCTTATTGCATGGATTAGGAAGGCCAAGAGTTGGTTGATGAGTTAGGAAGGCCAAGAAGGCCAGAAAAATACTTGAGTCCGCGCCAAGAACCCGAGTCGAAGGCATCGTTTGAAATATTTGCGGGGATTGCATCGAGGAAAAGTCAGCATGGTTTCTTTCACAAGGATTTTTCATGGATTCCTCAAGGTTGTTGGGAGCTATTCAAGAAATATCACTTGCCCACTGCTGTTATAGAAATGCTCTTTATATGAAACCTTTTTTTTAGCCTCAACGGACTCCGGTGACTCTGAGGGGGGGTGCGAAGCATTTTGAGCGCTAATAAGACACGCGAATGGGGTCAGACTGGGAGGTACCGTATCTATGCTGCACTTAGTCTCTCAGCCAACTTCTCTGAATCGTGTTCTCGGCGCATTAGAGTGGTACGTACGGACCAATACAACGTCATAAACGCTCTGTAGAGGAGTGTAGCTTGGAATACTGGCCGACGTAACGCTCAAGTGCAGTGGGCGATCCGTGTATGTCCCTTGTGGCAACTCCGTCAAAACGATCAAAACCCTTAGGACGTTGCGTTCTGCACGGCCACGAATCACTTGTGAACCGAAACGTCCATGCGATTTGCGATGTCGTATGCGACCAGAGCCGTTTACGGCATTTGGATCCATGGGACTCACAACAAACCTGAAACAATCGTCAAGGAGCCATTGGCCACGATGGTCGCGACTGGGTCCAAACCTCGACTGAGTCGCGATATACTCTTTCCACCCCGCGGAAATACACGAGCAATCGGGCGAGGTAACGGTATAGTGCATTATTCTTCTCCCACCGCTCCAGTAAATAACCTACGTGAGAGGATAGCATCCGTCATCCTCAGCAGCTATTAAAGGCACGCTCCGCGATCAGGCGGGCTCGCCTGTTCCATCCAGGGGTAGTAGTAGGCAGGTGGACAAGTGTTGATGTCGGGCCCCTTTTGCGGCTTGAAAGTACGCGACAAAGGCGCAAGGAGCTCGTCCAACCCGCAACTCACACCTTCGTCCGCAAGCCCCACCCTTCGCTGTCGGTTGCCACGTGGCGCTGCTTGAAAAGCGCGGGCGCATTTGAGGCAGTCCCAGCGCGATCCAATGTTATTGACACTGGAGCAAGTAGAGTTAGGTTCGTGAAACTCGTCCAATTCGCCTCTTTTCTATCCCAAGGTGGAATGTGGCTGAAATAGGGGAGGTCTCCGTACGGGGCGTAATCGGTGGTTTCGTTTGCTTTCCTTCTCTTTTACAGACCACCTCCTACCTATAGCTTCATAACTGAACGCTTTTCCACACCTATTTTATCCCGAATCTTGCCTTTAAAGCGGCCCTTGTAACGGAAAATCTATATGGCTGCATAATTCACTCCGCTGATTGGTTTAGCTCCTCCTCATGTGCAGGTGCATTTTTCCAGCTGTAATTGATAGATTCGTGTACATTCAACGTTTTATCTGCAATCCTACAATCTCACGAAGTTTTATAGAAGCGCTTTTTCCCACACTGGGGTCAGCGTGGGGTCCACATTCTCAAATGAACGGGACCCGTTTTGCTCGGTTTTTTCGCTGTGGGTTTATATCGAAATTCTGCATATTTAATTATTCGCAAAAATATAGTGATTAATAATGGACTGGTTGGAAAAAAAAATCTCTACTCTTGCAGATGGAGGAAAATATCGTCTTCGGTCGGTTTGAACAGATACTTCGGTCCCGCTGGAACTTAGCAAGCCATAGATTGGCAGTTCTTTATGTACAACCACCAGCAGCCGTTAGTGTCTTTAAGGTAGAAGCTCACTAAGATCATGGGCAATAGGAAAGTTGCCTGAGCTGAGGCATCAATAGGTGGGTGGGAAAGCGGTCGATAACGAAGTTGTGCATGCTGACTTGATTGAGAATGATGAATGAAGCAAAGCCGGTATGTTCCACAAAAATACCGGGTTCACCGAGCTTGAAAGCAAAAGTCTACTGTATGAAGGTGCTTGCTCGACGGCTCCACTAACGCGCATGTATGAATTAGCCTCCACGTCGTAACCCACATTGCGTGTAATGGAGAGTACGCGAGATATCTCGTCCATTAGCTCCCAGCAGTCGTCATTAGCTCCGTTTGCAACGCTCTCGTAATAACTTCGTACTTTCTGATCACACTATCGTGCCGCGGTAACCAGCACAGCACGTCACGGGACACTCTATGTATCCTACTTTCTGGATCTGGTGTTGTTGCTTTGAGGGCTTCGGGAACAGTAGACAAGAACACCTTTCTGCTTCTCGGTTTCAAATAGTATGCCGTGAGACTTCCACTCGTCAGTCAACCCTATACAATTTAAAAGTTGCTACTACGTGCCATGAGCTGTTTTTTGCCACCGCACTTCACCCTTTACGCTAAGCTAAGCGTGATCGAAAATCTGTATTTCATGTTATACACGAATCCACGGATCCCAAATGCACTTTTCATACATGATAATCAATCTACATGCAGTAGATGCAACGTGATATTTTAAAGAATGTTATGCTTATTTGAATCCAAATTTTTGAAAATGTCTGGGTACGGAACTGTAGGCACGCCGATCCTTGAGCGTCAAGGCGGTCAACTTCCTGATGACACTTTCACAGGGCACTTTCACTTTTACCTAGTCAAACAATTTGGAAAAAAAACGGAAAAAAAGCAAAGAGCACGTGTTTTTTGTTTTTCTTTCTTTTCTGCTCGATCTGAGAACTCTACAAAGAGTGCACTCCTATATCTATCTGGGAAGAGTGCTGAATATGGCAAGATATATCATTTCTGAGATATACCGCAGAAAACGGGTAGCATGGACAGCTTTTGGATCGATTCGCGAAGTAACAGATCAAGTAAATGACCCGGAACTAAAAGCCTCGATATTCAACGCCTCAGTATTGCCAGCAATGTGCTACGCAACCGAAACTTGGCCTTAACAACAAGACAATCGCCAAGGCCATGCAAACTGCTCAGCGTGCATTAGAAAGGTGTTTTCCAAAGATTAGCCGACTAAAAAATATTAAAATAAATACGAAAATAAAAAATACAAGGCATACGTAGCTCAGAAATGAAGGAACGATCACGCTTGAAAGATCCGCTTCTTTACATGGCGCAATTGAAGCATCGATGGGCCGGTCATTTACTTCGCACTGATGACAGATGGAGTCTACGCGTGACGGAGTGGCTCCCAAATACAACGAGACCCCTAGGACGACCGCCAACTCGGTGGGCCGACTCGTTTTCAAAATTTTTCAGAGAACGCGGCCTACATTGGATGCAAGTTGCCAAAAATCGGGCTATGTGGAAGAGCTGTGGTCCCCACTGAGAAGAACACCAGTTGCTGGACTATCAAAGTATCAAAGTAAGTACCTACTCTACTAATTGCTTTCCTTCATGTTCTGCTCGAGATCACTGCGGAAAACTTAAGATAAGTAGAACCAACTCAATGAGCTCTAAAAGCTGGTGTTTCGAAAATCGAGAACAGCTCTAATTGTGTCTTCTAGTCCACTGTAGTACCTAGTATTAGAAGCAGTATAAGCAACGCTGCGGCGCCTCGGATCTCGTGCACTGGAACAAGACTTGTCGCTGAGGTTGCAGCCGAGATATTTTTTATTAATTTTTGCCTTGAAAGGCGTTACCGTGCAAAAGCTGGAACCAAGGAAGTTCTGGAAAAAATCGTTTTTGTATTGGTTGTCGTCATACTACGGATCGAAACATTGAGATTTTTCCACCGTTTTTGAGCGGGTTACTGAGAAGCCGTTGATCAGCCGCTTTTAATCCGAGATCAGATTTTTCTATGTGCGGTGAATTGCAATGTGGATTCTGTGTGGGTTCTAAATTGCAATCTGCTACATTGGGAGATATACAATAAAATTCGTATAATGTTTGTGGGGATATCGAAGTTCTTAGAAACGTTGAAGCGATCTGTGACTGATATTTACGGTTGTTGGATACCACACCAAAGAAAAAATAGAGTGAATTAAGGTAACTTTCGTCATTCTTGACGCATTGTTGCGGAGGATAAGGTATGCGTTCGTTCTTTTCCGTTAGGATGGGGGTTTTCCTTAGGGGATTTCTCACGAAAGGGCTGAGGGTGCGCAGGCGGGAGCAGCGTGAGCGTAGCACCGAGTACTCTCTCTGTTGATTCCCCTCATCCACCAGTAATTAGTGATCGTTCTTGTGTTGTTCAGGAAATCCGTAATAAGAACTCAGCAGGTCTATAAGCAGGTATGTGTGGAACTCTATCCGCTGCACGCGTCGACCGCGGAGAGGAGAGTCCATTCATTTATGGTTGTGACGGGTGCGGTCGCAGAATCTCGAAGGGGAAACGTCACAAGAGGCCAGAGTTTCTGACAAGATCTAAGATAATCGGTTCTTATCAGGTTTTTTTTTTCGTTGCTGAGATGTTTCTGCTGCGTGAATCACTATATGTCGTAAAAATTCTTTTCTGTCTTTGGAGCTAAAACTCAGGAGAGTAGCTTCGTCGATCGGCGCGTGGTAGCAGCGCATAAATTGGCAGTCGATGTACGCAGAAGGGAGATAGACTTCATCATACCTTGAAACTGAACCACGAGATGAGTAGGCGTCTTAGAGAAGCCTCTCGTTTGGTGACCCACTTCAAAAACCCAGAGTCCTATTACGCTTGTAGAGATGGAGCAAATTTCGGTGTGTTCGGACCAAACAAAGATCAACGGAGTGCAGTGCTATGGGAGAATTGACTTCTCGAGGCTGAAAATATTAGGTTGTAAGGAAAGTTCTGGCCGTTTCGGACCCTGAAGTTCAAATGTGCATATCTCGACTCAAACGCAACGTTTTCGATCGCAATAAAAACCTGTTGGATCTACTCTTCCTTGCGAACATTTCATGTGTTTGATCAATCCGTTCACTGGAAGTACTGGAGTTCTAGAGGCGATGAACTCGGCGAAGGTCGTTTCACCATCATGTTAGATTTCGTAGCATTTCCCCTTTAAGGTGCTATCCAGACCGTTGAAAAAGTGGCGGTGAATAGGAAGAGGTCTAGGGAGTGGGACGTTTGGGACATAGTTCAGTACTTCAGCTAGTTCTTTTTTTGCAGGGTCTTCTGCGGTCAACGGCTGAGGTGCATCGCGGAAAAGAGTCGGCCATTTATGGCAGCCCTTGCTGGGCGCAAGCGTCAAGATTTTGGGATATTCCGACACCATGCAAACATTGCTGGTTCTACTGTACTCGTGAGCATTCCGTTCAGATATATCGCTCAAAAAAGAGGGCTGCTTGAAGGAAGGACGCATAAAAATGCTCTGTTATCTTTGGAGGAGCTTTTGCGAACATCAGCCGATATAGTGGACTACTTTTATCGGAAAACAAACAATCCCACGGGCGATGGTTTCGTTCTTGGTAACCGAGCCAGAGAAATATAGCGCATGCAACTGTATTTAATCAGTGGTTATTTTGAGCCTTTCTTAACGAGGAGCGGAAAAAAATTTCTGGAAAGATTCGCCTGTAACGGACTGGTGTTTGACGATACATTCAATGTTACACGCTACTCCTTCCGATTGGCTTCTTTACTAGTTTCAAACGACGGAGGAAGAGGATTCCCATGCTGCTTCTTAATTTCGTATCGTATGACTACTGAGGAAGTTTCGATCTTATTCGGTTTAGTCAAGGTATGGTCTCGAAACAGCGGGTTGCGTGAGAGAGTTGACTGTTCCTTTAGGGCGCAATGTGGCTTGGAGGGGCCAGTCGCCGCGCGCGATCTCTGCGTTCTTTCTGTGTAAGCATTTCCTCTTCGCTAAATCGGGACTAAGCCTCGGGCAGGGGAGGAGGAACTCCAGGATCATAGCAATTTTCATCTTCCCAAAGTTCCTGCCCACTCCTAGGCTTAGTACTACAGGGCGCGGACGAGCAGAGATCGCGCGCGGCGACTGGCCCCCTCCGAGCCACATTGCGCCCATTTTGGAAATTGATTCCGCATTTCGATTCGCGTTTTGTTATGACCGACGACACTACTGTTTTACAACGCATGCATATCATTTTTCCGCAGAGTAGAGTACAGAAGATTTTGTGCGCGTTACATGTCTTCAAATCTGTCAAACGGAAACTAAACGAAATCTTGGGGGTTAATTATTTAAGGCCGTTCATTGAGGTAGTAGTTCAATGGGAGCATCCGAATAGCTTGTTACACGCAAATGATGCAAAACTGGGGCTACAAGTTTCTCGCGAACCGTTCCACCAGGCTGTGGCGAGCCGGCGAGCTCATAATCGCCGAAAAAAGGCGTCGGATACGGTAGCGCGCGAGCGGAGCAAGTGGTGTGAATACACGCTGCAAGTGGACAAGAGTGTCTGGTTTGCTTAGCTCCTGGGAGCTTCTGGAACTGTGAGTTACCATGGATGGTGTTGGTCGACATGATAAACTCAGACAGTCTTTCGCCCTGCTCATTCCAATCCATTCCGTGAGTACCGATGTGAAGTTCTTCAGCCGTTCTTCTTGGGCCAATCTTGGCGTTGAAGTCGCCGACGATGACCTTGAAGAAGGTATGATCTTCCTTCCCTGTAGAACTTCTCCAATTCCATATAGAATGCTTCGTGTTCCTCCTCGTCGTAGCTGGATGTTGGTGCGTAGGCGACGAAGATTGTCAAAGCAGGAGTTGAACCACATCTTCTCAATCTCAAACGTCCGATTCGGGTCGTAAGGCTTTCGTACGAATCGATGTTTATGGCCAAGTGCGTGTTGACGAGGACACCCACACCGCCAACGCCTCTGCTGTCGCATGTTCCAAGGAACAGTTCTTCTCCAGTATCGAAAACGGCGTGTAGCGGGCGGTGCCTTCTCGTCTCGGTCAGTCCGATGACGTCGTACTTGATCTTCCTGGCCTGCATCATCCCAAAATCTGATCTAATCGGGTCTGGCAGAATTGGTGCCGCAGGAAAAGGTGCTACTCACTACGCACATGGATCAGTTCCTGTGTCTTATGCCAATCAATCACCCTTTAAGGAGTGTCGAAACTTTTCATGACAACACTAATTGATTCCACTCAATATTTGCACAAATTTCTAGCCATACCATGTTGGTCAGTGGGAAATTGCGGTATTAGGGTCGATCTAGATGAGTGCATATATCTTTGTTGTGTGTATTTTAAAGGAATCCTTCACGGAAAAATCATGATTCTATTTCAGCCATAAATCACTGGCTTGAGACTCATTATCCACGATAAGAATGAAAAGAACAGAAATATTGCTTTGTTTTTTAAAAATTCGAAAAATCGAAAGGGCTGCTACGCGTTCAAAGTGCCCACGGACGTCTTTCACAAATGCTGGCGACGGGGATGCTTCCACTTGGTTCTTGGAGTGCCTTCACTAGAAACTCTTCTGGCCTTCTGACTTATTGCATTCACATCTCACACTTCTACTCCATCCTATTCTATCGATCGATTTGTCTCTACTCTCCAAATCGCACGCTTTAACCCGATTCTTTCATTGCGTCGCCTGATACGTAGCCGCCCCAGTGCGGACTTATTCCATGCCCCGCCTTTGGCTCCGCCCGAATTACCTTCGATGTCCATAGAATGGATTTTCGTGAGTTTGTTTCTCTTCGGAAACCGAATCTTCATGCGTGAAACTTTGTGTGCTGCATCTAGTGATCACAACTGACACATTCATGTTGGAAAAGATGCAAGAATTTTCCGCGAAAGATTCCTTTAAGAAAGAGTTGCTTCGAAGTGCTCCTACGAGAGGGTGGTACGGTTCTTCGTACATCATCGAACGTCCAC